TTGTTGAAGTTCAGTTATCTCAATAAGTTCAGGATTAGTTAAAATATTTAATGCTTTGGACAACCAAAAGTTCAACAGAATTAATACACACTATCAAACAAGCAAAAAATAAGCAAGCATATTTTCATACCCTTAAATACTTTTATATTTTTAAGATTTAAAAAAGTACTCATACTTACTGGCAAGAAGAAACCCCAATGCATATAGCAAGAAAATTTATAGAATTCCCTATATTGATTCTTCATTTGAAACTATTGCAAAGAAATAGTGAAAACACACTGTACAGTCATAAAAAAATTAAACTCTCTAATAGAAGGTATAAGGAATACTTTTTATCAATATTATCAGTTCCTTACAATGCTTAAAACTTTTCCAAGACTTTCTGAAGTTTAACTTTTCCATGTTAAACTAAAAAGGCGTACCATTTTCAACTCTCTCTTTTTCTTGAGGCTTCCGCAGCGATCTCACTATGTGGTTCTTGGTTTGTTCTCTAACCGAACGCCGGTGACTACTGAATGCACTTACAGGAGTTGAAGTTCTTCTCTTTTCTATTTTTTCATCTCTATATGGGGTACTCCTTAGGGCTATGTGTAGAGGAGCATCTACAAAGAGAATAAAGATGAAGTCCAAGCTTTAAATACTTTCAAAACCTAAGTCTACTCCACCAGCAGCAGTTCTGGTAGTCCACACGGAGCGTTTCTGATCAGACTCACTGCTCAACTCACAATCCTAGTAGCTTGACCATGAAAAGCTTTTCAAAAGAAGCTGACTTAAAAGCTAAAACCTGCAATGCTTTTGTTGGTTTGGTTTTTCCAAAAAGAAACAGAGGATCCAAATGTGTTCCTTAAAGCTCTATTCTTCCAGAAACACTGCAGCTTTGAAGAAAGATGGAAAGAGAAACAGTTCAGAGAAACAGAGATACGGGTCAGGTAATTTTTACTATTAGATTCTTTAAGAGAAAAGAAAAGGGGCACTGTTGATTTAAGGCTGTTCTCAGAAGCGTGCTTTGTAACGAGGCACACAGAAGTGGCATAGAGAAGCTCTGCACATCTAAGGAAGGGCATTTTTAAAATACGTACCACTGAAACAGTGTTTCAGCTGAGAGTGAGATTCAAGAATTCAGGAGTAAAATTCATAAAAATCATGAGCTACAGACATGGTTTCATCTGAGATTCCATTTACTATTTAAGTCAAATAGTTCTTATCTTCCTAACTACAGCTAGCAACTCCTACTGAAAGACTCCTGGACATGGAAAAAGAGAGGTGAAGCTGATAAAAGCTAAGGCTGTCCAGCATGTAAGACAGCCAGACTGAACGAGACAAGTACACTGCCATTTTGGAGTATGACATGAAGTAACTTGGTCAGCAAGACCCAATAGCCAAGGTGACAGCTTGTGACTTTCATCAAGAACGTCCCATTTATCATCATAAGCATCTCAAAACTTCAGTGGATATGAAAGGCAGCTTCCTTCTTGTCTGAACACTTACATGCCACCCAGAATTTCACTTGGACACCCTAAGTAATTGTGATCAGTACCTGAAAATGACTGAAAACGGAAGGAAAAGAGTCCAGGAGAGCATACTTGGGAGGAAAAAATGGTATCAAGTATTTTGCCATGATCAACATCTCAAGCTGAAGCTATAACAAGGCACATTAAGACATGACAATATAGAGTTTCAGAATCGAGTGGATCTCCTCAGGCAAAAGAAACTCCCAAGATCAAGAAACCTGAAGGCAATCAGATGATTTTTTTCCTCTGGTCATCTCACTGAAGTTGCCTTAGAACTTGAGGGGGGGAAAAAAAAGAAAGGAGCCATTCACAACTATTTCTGTAACCAAATGGTTACCTTCTAGTCACCTGCCATAGTGCCTACAGCAGTCAGAACACAGAAATTAGACCAACCCCCAAATTTCCACAAAAGACTGTCTCAATAAAAGGTACCTTTTGTCCAGTCAGGCAACCCACTTTTGCCTTTCCCTGGGTGCTTATTTACCTCAAGAGCTGCAAGACTGTAGAAATTAGCATGTTTTGTCTACAAAGAATTATCAAAATCAGAAGATACTCCTTGATAAGACACTGCAGTATGTGCATGGCATCCATTTTCAACAGGACTAACTTCTCCTCTGGCAGGAATAAGTATAAAGAGGTGTGTATTTGTTTTCGGTTTTTGTTTTTTGTTTTTTTTTTTTTAAAAAGGTCTGTTTTCATAGGACTTCTTGCTAACAGAATTTCCTCATCTGAGGACTTCCATGATTAGTGGGTTGAACAAGACATCACATCATCAGTTCAGACAGATGAAATTTTTTCGCATGGTACAAGGCAGCTGAAAAACAATATTAAGGTACTTCATAACCTGTTTGGGAACAAACTTTCTGAAATGCAAGCTGTTTGCAGCAGTACAGGGTGGGAAGTCATGTAAACAAGCCTTTCTTGAGCTTTCCTGATTGTCTTCCATTCTGCATTAAGTTCCAAAAAATATTTACAGAACACAATCTCAGGGAACCCCAAAATTGCAACAGAAAAATCTATACAAACTAGACGACCTTCATTTAGGCATCCTAACTTTTCCCTCTTCCAACAGATCAACTCTGTTTCATGAATTAACATTTGAAGAACGCCACAGCCACCTTGATCCCACCAGTCTTTCAAATAGCACATGGCATCTGGGCTTCCTGTGGGTTGAGACCTGTCCACTCTTGGTGGAACAAAACCTTGTTTCACATCCATTAGGTATTTTTAGCTTTGCCAAACTGAAGTTTAAGCAGATTTTTTCCAAGAATATGTCATATCTGTTATGACACATAAAGGTTAATACACTTCTGTAAGATTTTTTTCAGCCACTAGTAACACTGTCCTGGGGGAGTTCAAGGGTACTCTATCGTACACCAGATGTATTTTTCTTCAATAACTGACAAAAAATAGTTATCAACAAATATGTTAAATTTTGAAACACCTTTTGTTCCACTGATAGAAAAGTTTAGCGGGTCTATGAGATCTTTGAGCACTCTGAAATATATTTTAAGAGTTGAGACTAAATTTAAGGAGACTAAAAAACTGGAATGTTATCCTAAACTTTTGTGAAAGTAAACGTTAAAACTTGTGCCATGAAGACCCAAACTTGTAAGCTTTCCACATGTAGTGTCCTGTTTCCTCTCAATAGAACATTTTCAAGTATAATTCAGACAGGCCAATTTATGAAATCACCCCCAAAAGGACAACGAGCAATTACCGTAACAACCACAACCAAGAACTCGTATTTAGGCACATGCCCAACTTGATGTTCCCCAAGCTCAGCCCTTCTGCCTCAGCACCAGCCCAGAGTGTGCCACGTGCTTTCATCCTCCCCACCCCTGAGCCAACCTTCACTCCCCAGAAGGCTTCCTACTCCTCTGCCTCCTCCCAGTCACAGGAACTCCCAATCTGCAGTTTCAAGAAAGGCCAACACAGAGCACACAATGCACCGTGTCTACATGGACAACACCTACAACTTTTGTTAGTACTGTAACTAACTTCTCTTACAAGTCACTTAAGCCATGTAAGCACTCCACTGAGACCAGCGGGCAACAAGACAACTGTATTGTGGGTCTGTAGTGAACAGCAGGCCTGTGCTCATAGAGTCATCCTACAGCTGTCTCTGCAGGTCCCATGAAGACACCTGCACTTATCTTGCAGACATATCCTGAAGTGAGACAAGTGGCATCTAAGCTACAACTTCCATGCATTCCTGATAATGACCAACTCAAAAATCAAAACAGATACTAGTACCCTTTAACACCTTTATGATCCAGAATATCATTAATCATCATTAGAATTATACAGTTCTCTGCAAATAGACCACCAAAGCCCTCCAGACATCCAAGGCAATGAACAGTTTCACTGCTCTTGAATAGTGATGTTGTAATTAAACACCAGCAGATTAATTTCTGGGTCAGATGACACTAAATGCCACTAACAGGAACAGAAGATATGTTAACAAAAAACTGGAGATGAAGAGGCTTGCTAATTAACTGCCCATACCCTTCTTCCATAGAGCTCTTTCAGGCCTCTCTAAGCCTGGGAGAAGCGCTCTCTTCCATATAAAGATCTGATCCAGAAGCCGTGAAGTATCTTAGAAACTAACAGACACAGACCTGAGATATGAAATCACCCCAACCATGCAGAAACCACAAGGACAGAGCCTTAGGAGAACTTATACCTAAACATGTCAAGGCTCAGTGACAGATAAGGCAATAGCTTTCTGTCCAGTGGAACACAAAAGATGTCAGACCCCAGTTAAGAAGATAATACAGCCTTCACAGGAAGGAAAGTGACTGAATTTCCAAGTGGTATGAATTAGACAATATTCACCATCCACAGCTGTGAGGTCATTTGCTGAGAATATCCACTGATAATTTCAAGAACTAAAGGAGCACATACCATCTTGACTTACAGCTGAAGTATTTCACACAGCCATCCTCCACAAACTAAATGCAGAATCTTAAGATAAGCCACAAAGTCAATCGGCAATTCTGCAGAACATAGAGGGTGTTAATGCAGATCTTCACCTACTCCAGCAAAAAAACCCCTGTGTTTGTAGGTCACCCATGCTCATTCTACCATCTAGCAAAGAGGCATCCATCAGCCACTATTCAGAGGAAAGAGGAAAACCCTCAAAGTATCACCCTGAAAACCAGAGCCACTTGCCAGAGGTTCACATGTTAACAGCCAGCAGTTGACAACTGCATGCCGTAGACATTTAAGCTGTCAAAGCAAGTTTGCCAACCTGCTCCCCGCACAGGCACCGTTAGGATCTCATCAGTAACACAAGCACAGCCGAGACTCCTTTTTTCTTTACATGTATGCCTGGCATCGAGACACTGACGCATTAACATGACATACTGTAACTAACTTTGACTAGGCAGAATTTTCTAACAATGAGCTCACATACAAAAACTTAAACTTACCGATAAAATGCATGTGTTTTTCTTTAAGTACCTTTTATGGCCTCCTCTGTAGGGACAGATCTTCTGTAGTCTCTAACTACAAAACACAGGTCTGTTGCCTTTTTTTTTTTCTCCTCTTCCTCATGACAAGGAGAACACCAGAGCCAAGACTGGCAGCAACTTGCCAGACTGAGGCTGCCATCGTATACCAATGCACCGAACTGCAGCCTCACACTGCATGGCCTATTTAAAGTCTCAAAACCAAGTTTAACTTCCATTGGAGCAAAACTCCTTAGGGGAACTGAACTATGTCCTGGGAGCATAAGGGTATCAAAGGATGAAGCCCCTGCCCACGTGATAGTTGTGCTGAGGGCAGTATTGACTCTGTCAGCACTACTCGGTGGTTATTAAGAACATTGTATGTGTGTGCAAGGAGATGCCATCAAACCTTCACTAAGGTGGCTGATACACTCTTAAACACCCTACTTGTTCACAACTAAAGAGGCTATAACTTCCTGACAAGCCTTCAGTACCCATGAAGTACAGACCAGGGAGAGACTCTAAGGTGAGGTGCAGCAGCTGTGCAAGTACTGAAGTTTGGTACAAGTTGACTTTCAGACTTCAGAAAAATTGTTCAACACAGGGCATGAACTACATTTTGTTGAACCTTCAAATGAGAAGATTTTACTAAAAAAATTGAAAGCCACCAGTTTGGAAAGACTCAAACTCAGACAGACACATTTAAGATGTTCAAATTGAGTTGCAAGTACAAAGAATGAAATGAAGCTATTCCAGGCCTCGTGCCCTTGGAGTGGTCTAGGTCAGGAAACAACACACTTTATTAAAAATAACCTTTTGCAGGCACTTCAAATAAAATAACATGGACAGACAGGCATATCTGAAGGAGAAAACTGGCACCTTCAGAGGAAGTTGTTTACAGTCACTGTTTATAGGGCACAAGTCACAGTATGGGATGACACACTTCAACAGCAAACGAAGGGATTGTGCAGAGAAAGAGAAGGGATCACAAAGAAAAAAGCCTATCTTAAGGTTAATGCATATGAATGTAGAATGTGGTTTCACTCCTTTTTTTATTACAGCAATCAATAAGCAATTAACTGCCAAAAATTTTCACAGATACTACACCATTCGATTTCCAAGCGATAAACTCAATCTACCATCTCAATCTGAACTGTCAAAAGCTTAAATGACACTTTCCTGCAACACAGACTTTGAGAAGCCATCTGCAGCCTACGCTCAAAAGCTTGTTTCAAGCTTAGGTATCCACAAGCGTTTGTGCAGGTCTTGATTCTCCTTTAACAGAAGAAGGGCTGCAGGCGGCTCCATGATGCACCGCAACCTAAGAGCTGAGGGCAGAAATGCCTATAGTCCAGGGGGATACAAAAATTGACTGCATTATTCTCTATATGGACAGTTCCTTCAGTGCAGACCAAACAGCAGCAATACTCATGGAGGTAAATATAACAACATGGGCCTGGGGGAAGAGCTGTTACATCATAATTTATCTTGTAGTATTTCCAAATAAAGAGGTATTGCCTGAATGCATCCAGTAGCCATTTAAGTGTGTGCCATTCTGTTCAGTAGGCATACCTAAAATACAAGCTAGTTCCTTTCCCTCTGTTCAATGAAGAGCCACTACAGAATTTACAGAGATATCTGTCAAATTGCCACTGCAAACGTAAGATCCTTCTTGAGGAAAGGGAGAGACGGGACATACTAACCTTTCCAGCTCACTCAAGTTTTGAAGCCAATGCCAAGTGGCACAATTTATATGTCAGATGTTAAAATTTCAGTCTCCACTTTAGTGGAAAGTAATTACACTTAAAATTGCTCCTTCCTGCATCTCACAACATGGTCACTGAAGACTACTTACATCCATCTCCTGTGTGTCAAAACTCTAATTTTAAGCACAACAACGAAAAGGTTTTGCTACTGTTCTGAACATCGTATAAATTTCCTAGAACTTTAGGAACAATACGTATTTTCACTTTAAATCTAGCCAACAGTCCACCCCCACCATTTATTTATAGTTTCATGCGTAGCAGAAATTGTAAGGAGTCTCAGAACTCCAAATAAAACTTGTGAGATAAGGATTTCAGTGTGATAAAGCTTCTAAAGCAAGAGTATCTCCAAGCTCATGGAATAACAAGACTGGCGATTTTTAAAGTCTAAAGTCTTATCTGTTAGAAATTGCCACCTTTTCTTAAGCAGTAAAATCTATCTAATACAGTGAAGTATAAGAAAAGGACATTTGTACCAAAAGGTAAAGTGAATATATTAAAGTCATTTTGAACAGGAGAATTTTTGCTCACAGAAGGATTGTAGAGATGAAAGCAAACCCACCATGTACCATACATAATTAGGTATTCAAAAGCCTTCACTCTCACTACACTCAGTACATCCTGAAAAGCCTTTTAAAAGGTGACAAAGTGTTCAGTAGACATGGAGAAAGTCTTGCTAAGCAGGTTGTCTTCCTATACGTGCCATTAAGAACAAAAGAGATGCTTGCGAAAAGACAGAACAGAAGAGAAAACGCAACAGTATGAGCTCATAAACCCCATTAACCCTGCTTTAGAATTTGTGGTACCCTCACAACAAAAATTAGAATTAAGAACACACTGAGTTAAAAAACAAATTCTACTTATTATCAGACACGTGATGTAACTGGTATGTACTGACATTACTTTTCCTCATCAGGAAAAAATGTTACTGTAGCTCCACAATAGCAGGCTTTGACAGTGAAGGTGACTTGAAAACTTTACAGCCCGCCTTCCACCTTGAGGCCATGCTCAACCTGCCAGCACAACCCAGGGGCTATTTGCAGGGATATGTTAAGAGGCACATCATCGAAATATCCAGGTTAAAAGTATCCATTCGCAAATGGGGAATGAAAAGGGCCAGGGCTTAAAATAAGCAAATACAGCTACAACTCAACTCCATAAAGAATTACCTGCCAGTGCAGCCAAGATGGTAACAAACCAACAGAGTGCACTTGTGGGAAAGGATAAATGAAAGGGTCAAGATCTTGAGTCACTAGTCAGTTCACTGAATACAATCACAGGAAAACAATTTCTCAAACCGAAATAACGATGCAGTTACAAAAAGCAGAATAGGAGCCTGTGTACAGAAAAGCACGACACACAAGAAGCCTGTTTTGATCACTGTGCGGTGGTTAGCACCCATTCTTCATAAAGCGCTTGTCTCCGATGCGTTTGTCAAGGCAGTATTTCGGTTTTATTTAAGCTGTATGCAAAGCATAACACACCCAAGTTTGCACATCCTAATGCATTCAAAGAAAAAAAAAACCAACCTTCCTCTACTTAACCAAATCTTATGCCTTTGCATTAAAATTACAGAAGTATTTGGGGTATAGAAGTTTACATGCAGTAGCAGTATATTAAGTTACACTCATTTTGTTAGAACAGGCAGTAGGATTTCAAGTGAAAAAGCGTTTGCTGGACACATTAGGAAAAGCAGACGTGAAGCAAAGTAAGGCTAGACATGTTTTGCTGTAACTCAGTGAACAACTCACAAGACTTTGAAATTGTTAGTTAAACAGAATGAAAGATCAAATACAAAGACAAAAACCACCAGGGAATTCAGCAAAGAAAAAATGGATTTTATAGAACAGGCTCCATCAGAAGACAACAGATGACAATGTTTTATGGACCTGCAGTACAAAGCACAGTCCGTCCACAAGAACAAAGTCTGGATAGGTTACCATCAACACTGCAGCTCACAACTGGACCTAACCGCTGCGCTGATGTTATGTGAGACACTAGGAAGAAAATGCTTCAGAGAATGAGAAGGTGAAGCAGAAGTTAACATGATTCTCAAGACTGCAAAGCAGTTATAATTAAGAATTGATTTTTTTCCTAACCATTTTTATCCCTTTCCACTACCCATCCGTTGTGTGAGGATCTTCTTCATGTATAGCTGTAGCAACTGCATTGTTAAATACTAGGACTTTTTTTCCCCCACAGGTCCAGCAATGAGAACCGTAAATACTGCAGAAACTGGTACTGGATTTCTAGCTAAGTATGCTCTTGAAGTCAGACCATGAAATGTAAAGACCAAGTAACAAACAGGAGAGAACTGGAGTTACCCAGACTGCTTCCTTAATATAGGAAAGGACAAAGGACTTTGAACAATACCTGTTAAATATTTGCCAAGCTAGGGAAAAAAAAATTAAAAAATCAGAAACTCAGGGAACTGTAGTTTTGAAACAAGGACAGAGGTTGAATATTCAGGTGATTTGTTACAAAGGAGAGAAGCTGCATAGTTGGTTCATTACAGAACATGATCTATATTTCTAGATGAAGGAATTTCTTCAGTTTTATCTTCTCTAAAACATAAATGTTTACACATTATGCTTCTTCTCTATGAAGAAATATACTAAGATAGAGCCCTAAAGAGACTCCTTCAGCCCAAAAGAAAAATCGATTTCTGCTCTTTCCTGCTTGCCCTACCTGCTGCTGTTTAAAAAGAGGAAGAGATCAGCAACATACTTACACAGTGAACCAGCTGTGGCCCGTCCTCTCTTTGACCTTTCTTGATTAGCTTTTTCAGAAGCCAAAGAAGCTCTGGTTTGAATATTTCTTTTTACAGGGTTCTGCTGTGATTCTGCAGCCTTCTCCACTCCATGAAAGTATTTCATGTGATAATGCAATAACTTGGCTTTGCGGAAGGATTTTGAACAGTCCGAGAACTTGCATCTAAACTTGGGATCTTGATCAACAGTTGCAGCTTTTTTTGATGTAAGAAAATCTGCTCTCCTACAAGGTTTTGTTACTGTAAGAACAAAACAGATAAATTCCCCCATGCATTTGCTACATTTATCAAATGGTTTCCTAAACTTAAAACAACAAAAAAAGTTAGAAATGGGCATGCATTCAAACATGTTAGCTATGACATGCTAAAATAAAATTCTAATGCTGTATCTGCCTTTCGGATCAATAGCTTAAGGGAAAAGTCTGCCCTAACTGTGCTCTCAAGAATAGGTTGTCATGACGCCACTGTTTTTAGGAATGAGATACTGTCAGAAAACAGTATTTTGGTTCCATGAATCCCTTGCCCAACAGCTAATATCATCGTATATAGTGCTGCTATAGATACAAGACTTACAGACTGTGCATTTTAGTCAAAACACTGAAGATTATGTTCTATCAAGTATTTATTTGTTTATAACTATTCACATCTTTGGCAAAAGCACTTTCCAAGGAAAACAGTTCTGCTTCTTTGCATATAACTATTTTGCTACCTGCTTTCTGGATGCCTTGTTCTACCACCAAAGTCTGGTTACAATGGAAGCAGTAAGTCAGAACTACATTTTTCAAGTAAAATTGAAATTTATTTCAATTTTCAAGCAGCAATGAAAGAATGAAACTAAGCAAAAGGAAAATTGCTTGCATCTGTTACAAGATGTCCCCTATGAGCTATACTTAATTAGTTTCTCAAAAAAAAACCCAAGGAAAGTCTTCAGACTCAAACAGAAGAATATTTTAAGGCATCTGTTGTGCAACTTGACCTGGTAAATCCCTACTTCTTCCAACACTTCAGTAACTTTTAATTTATGTTTTTCCTAAGAAATACACAAAAGAAACATTTTGAACTAGGAGTAAATTTGATTACTGTCACCAGTATCCGTACCAAATAAAACAGAGGAGAGGTAGGAATTTGGAAACATGCAGATATAAAGAGATCCAGGCAATTATCCATCACTAATATGCACACAGCATCAAAAAAATCCCTCACCAACTAGAGGACAATGAAAAGAAGGTATCACTTTACAAGAGAGATTCCATATATAATTTTTTCCATTTGTTTTGGCAGTACTAAAATATTATTTCCATATTTACAAGCATTTTCGAACTTGGAAGATTAAGAAAGAAGTATTTTAATCTAGTCCCAGACCTAGCAAAACTGTGATGCAAAACTGGAGGTATGCAGCACACGAACAAAAATTAAGACATCAGAAGTAGTTGAAAACAAGGAACACAAAAGGACCCAGAAATGTTACAAACAAGAACAAGTGCAGAAAGAATAAGACTTTTCACAAGCGCACATATGCAGGAACACATTGAGATGGAGCGTTAAAGGTAGTGTCAACACCATCTTGGGGTAAGAACACGGGACAGATTGTTCAAAAGTTTTTAGCATGTAGCAACAAAAACAGTGAGTGTTACTGAGCTGCATACTTAATGGTTATGTCATAGTGAAGAACAGCATCCTAGATAGCTGTATCTGAAGCATACTCAGTTTTTAAGTACTGTGTTATGACCAAGACACAAAACTTGAAGTCATTCACATAGGAGAAAAGCAAGTAATGGTACTACGGAGGCTGATGTACAGAGAAGAATTAACAAATCATATATGCACATCAGACTGGTTATAAGAAATATTCAGTTAATTTTGAGAAGAAAATAGTAAAAAACAAAGACATTGCTTTTGGGTGTTTCACAAAGTTAATGACAAGGAGAAAGAGAAAGACATTTTGGCATAGCTATATTAAGAACATGCTGACAGGGATGCTGTTTCAAGCAATTATTGGTAATAAGATTGTGACAAAGTCAGACAATTGGATCACACTTGCAGATTGACAAAGTTTGCCAACACCAAAATTGAAATATACTGTATACCATCAAAAGTTACATTCTTAAAGAATGAAAAATATTTCAGGAACACTCAGTGGGTTAAGTGAAAGTAAGTGCAGAGAGGTTCTCTTGACAGCAAGGCTAAAAGCCAGCATTCAGGACAATGAAATAGAACTTGTTTCTACTTAATAATCATCGTGAAGATGGGAAAATTTAACTGCAGCAGAAGGGGATAATAGGGTCCAAAGATTTAGCCAAAAAAATATTACAAAGACAAGGGAAACCATTATACCATCACACAACTGTCATGACGATGCCCTGTATCCAAGCTCAGAGCACTTCCCCTCCATCAAGATGGACAAATACTTGGTAAAATACAGGGAATGGCGGCTAACTCATCAGCTACAAGTTAGAAGAGCAGCACAGGACCATGTTAGCCAAAGTTTAGAAACAGAGGTAATGGGAAGACAACAAAAACTTACATTACTGCAACATGCAAAAGGAATCTATTCAGAGTAATAGAGACACAGACAATCCCACATGGTAGAAACAGAGGTAATGGGAAGACAACAAAAACTTACAGCAACATGCAAAAGGAATCTATTCAGAGTAATAAAAACACAGACAATCCACATGGTTTGAAACAAAGCTTAAATTATTACTATCATCACCATGTTTGGGGGCATTTTCTTCACAAGTAACACAACAGAACTCCCTGCTGCCAGGGTACAGCAGGAAGCCGATGCCCAACTCCACCACCCAGGAGAGCCCCAAACGCTCCAAGGCCGACTCGTTGCACCAACACCTAAAGGGGAGAACTTCCATCCTTGCACATGTATACAAGTTTTGCTCACAATGCACGGTACTAAAACTGGTTTCTATTGAGAGAAAGTTTTGCTGTTATTAGCCTCAGATTTTCAGGCACTTGCCTTTTCAGAGGAGCTCGGTTGGTGTTTTCTGAGTCCAGAGGAAAGTTAATGACAGACCTACCACCTGCTGTTTCTTCCACATTTATAACCAAAATTAAAACTCCTCACCTGGCATTCCATTAGCCATTACAATTTTAAGCACAGGCTCAAGGTCAAACAACAGTGTTTCCT